ATGTTATACTAATTTCATCTAGATTTTCAAATACCTTTGTTCATCAATTTCAACACTCTCTTTTTGTCTTAATTCTTATTTGAATAATTATTTCCCAACTCATTTAGTTTCACAGACTGTTTCCCCTCTTCCATTTACATAGGTTAGTATTTTTTTTCTATTTCTTTCTTTTTCTACAGACAGTCGTAGCCTTTCTAGTCCTATTGTTTTCATTATATTGTTTTATACCTGATTTGCTGCCATTTAAATTTCAACAATCATACGTGCACTTTTAGTGCCAACAAATGGGCTCGCTGTATTTATTGATATGGTTATGCAAGCATTCTTTTTATGTCTGTTAATAGGAAACACATCAAAGGTTTGTGGTGCACTGCTAGGTTGTCCAAGGTGGTTCACAGAGTTCCTTTATGCCACAGTGGTCTGGGCTCTGCTGTTCCTCTCACACGTTGCTGCCTTGAGTGTCTGATATTTTGAATAGAGGGTTTTCATTCATGTTCATGAGTCCCATGCTATTTCCTTTCAGGTAAAGTCCTTCTGAGAGTGTTTGCATGAAAGTTATCATTGCATTGTAAAATGAAATGAGAAGTATCCCTTCCTTTTTCTTTGTTTTGAAGAATTAATGTAATTTTTTCTTTTTTCCCTTTGTAAAAATGTGTAGAAGAATTTACCTATGAAGACATCTGGACCTGAAGATCTTTTTGGAGAAAGTTTTAAAATAAGATATCAAGTTTCCAAATTGGAGGACTATTAAGATTTTTTATTTTCTTATGATTATCTTATTATAATTTTTAAAGAAATTTTCTATTCATTTTACTGTCAGGTTTACTGGACATGGAACTTAGTACAGTATATTTTCATTTCTGCTGGCTGTCTGTAAGATCTTTAGAGATGTGCATTCTTGTGACAGTTTGTGGGGGCTTCTTGGCTCCTTTTTTGTCTGGTTAGGGGTTTATTAACTTTTTTTTATCTTATGCAAAGAAGCAACTTTCAGCTTTTTTTTCTTTTTCCATTTACTTATTTGTTTTTTGCTTATTTGACAGAGTCTCATCATATACTTGTAACTGGCCTGGAACTCAGTAGGGATTGTTTTCTCTGGAAAACAAAAACACTCTTTTTTTGTTAGCGATTCCTGGTGCATTGGCTCAAGAGGAAACCCATTCTCCTTTCTCGTAAGGCTGCACCCCCATCATCACCAAGCCGAACACAGTCCTCGGCTTCGGATTCAAGCTGCAGGTTGGATGGTAGCAACCTCAGCTGGACCTCACTAGGCATCTTCCAATCCATGCTACCAGGAGCACCACTAACAGCAGCTATTCACAGAGGCCCTCCCAGCCCTCCCATTCTGTTTCCCGGAATGGTGGCAATAAAAGCTCCTTTGTCAATTAAATGATTGCATATTACATAACGATAAATTTATTTTGTACTTGATTAAATGTGTACGCACATACAGCGACACCCGTGTGGAAGTCAGAGGACGACTGTTGGGCGTCAGATCTGGCCTGGTGTCACACGTGCCCTGAGGATCAATGTAAGCGCTCAGGCTTGGCAGCGAGCACCTTCACCCACGCGGTCATCTCCCCAGGGCCATTGTCAGTTTGAAGCACCCTCTTTATCTTCAGCCTCTTTGATGACTTCTTTCTCGTATAAGATCCACACATGCTTCTGTGCAAAGAGTCTGCATTTTATAAATGTTTCAATTTCTTTATTTTGGCTCCATATATCTTTATGTATAAAAGGTCTGTTTTAATAGTTGGTTCAATTTTCTATTCAGTTGGATGACATTAGTCTTCGATTTGGTTCCTTTCTGTCAGTGTGAAACTGCTGTATTTGGGATGATATCTGCCTTCTTTTAGTTTAGTTTAGTTTTGTTTTAAAACACTTTTTTATTATATATTTAAATTAGAAAGAAGCTTGCTTCCGTTATCAGTCCCAGCTCCCTCTCCCTTGTTATCTGCCTTCTTACTCCATTTTTTGTCTTTTTTTAAAATTTAAGTTACAAACAAGCTTGTTTTATGTGTCAATCCCAGTTCCCTCTTTCTCCCCTCCTCCCCTGCCCCCCACCCCACAGACTCCCTATCCCATTCCCTTTCTGCTCTCCAGGGAGGGTGAGGCCTTCCTTGGGGGATCTTCAAAGTCTGCCCTATCATTTGGAGCCCTCCCCCATGTGTCTAGGCTCAGAGAGCATCCCCTCTATGTGAAATGGGCTCCCAAAGTCCATTGGTATACTAGGGATCTGAAACAGAGTCGACACTCCTTTGTCCCTGATTCCCTATTTACAGATTCACCTCTCTCTGAAATGAATTTGTAGCCTCAAAAGCAGTACCCACAGCACCCCCACGGCTCTTTACAGGCATGACAAAGTGGTGAAAAATTAGTCACCCAATGCAATTTCCTAATCTAGTTCAAAGAAGGTAAAGGTCGTGCTTTGGACATTTTACCGGTCATGCCTCTGTTTCTGATGGCACCCAAGCATGGCGCTGAAACTCTACTGTCTGTGCTCCTAAGTGCAACAAGTGGCTGCGTTTGTGTGATCATGAAATGACTGCTACTTGTTTGGAAAGCAGCATGCTAGAAAGCGTTGTTCCACGACGGAAAGCTATGAACAGTGAAGTCCTGTTTCTCAGGATCAAGAAACTGTCAAATCTTTCTTAGCTAGTGCTGGCTGCCTTGCGTGTTTCGAAAGGTGATGCAACACCGGAAATGCTGAGCATGAAGGTAAAGGAGACAGGCTCTACTATCATGAGACCGCTAAAGAATTGTTTTTAAATACCTGCTAAGATCTATGCAAGGAAAAGGGTTATGTGGGAGAGCAGGTTTCAGTGGTAATAAAGCTGGCTTGTTTCCCAAGGAAATTGGCAAACAAACTTATACAAGGAAAATGGTATTTTAGTTGACAAGAATGTTGTCAGAGACTTGTTAAGAAATTAAGTCTGCATTCTGGATAGCAGTAATAGCTCTGTATTCATGGTCTCTTTGTAGAGCACAACTACCACAGATAGTGATTATTGACTCTGTAATTTGAATATTTGTGTTCTTCCAATGTGCTAATTGTCTCTTTGTGTATGGGTACTTTTCCCACTGATCTCCTTTTGTTGTTGTTTTTCCAGATACACAGACATATTCATTGGTAGATGTATTTTCCCTATATTCTTTCTTTTTATTGCGTCCTTTCTCTTGTTAAGCTATGTTTCCTAACACCTCTAAAACAACATTAAGTAGCAGTCAAAATAACAAGCATCTTTCCTGTGTTTGTGACTCTGTGGGGGATTCTTCCAACGCTTCTTATCAACTGGAAACTTTAAGCTAAAATATGTTTTAATATCTTTAAAAGTATCTGTTGATTATTGTTTCATGGGGGATTGTGAGTTTAATATTTCCCACCAACTTTTGTTACCTATGGAGATGCTATTGTGTTTTTTTTAAATCTATCAATATGAAGAATTACATTAAAGGATTTTAAAATATAAAACAATTTTACATTGATAGCATGATTCTTCCTGATGATGACATACTATTTTAATATGCAGTTGTATTTTGTATTTTAATTTAATTGCATCAATTTCATAGCTCAAGTTCATTTAGAAAATATAAGCACAATTTATGCTCACATTTTAGTATGGACATTATACTCATTTCAGAAATTGAATTGATACTTTTTAGTCTTTCAGTATTCTAGACAAGCTTAGTTATGATTGAGTTGTCTGATACTCAGGATTAAGTACAAATTACTGTTGAAACATATGGCTGAGAAACACTTTCATCCTTTTTCTGCATAGAGACAGTGTCTTGCTATAAGTCAGTAGCACTGCCTTGGCTTTCCATGTGCTGGGATTGCATGCAAGTCAATAATTTGCAGGAAAGAAAACATGGTGTTCTCATTGAATTGCCTCGAGCTCCTTTTGCTAGAACTGTGGGAAGTATCGCTTCATTATTCCTACCAGTTGAATACCTTCACCACCAGAGCAGACTTCTTCTACTACAGGAACAGGCATGAGAACTGACAGAAAGTCAGCTTTGAGGCTGTGGTTAATGTAGCCTGTGAGCCCCCCACTGTGAGATGCTTTGGAGGAGAAAGCGATGGTTTTGGTTTTGGAGAAGCCAACAGACAAAGGCAGTTTCCTGTCTGCCCTGAGCACTTCTGGGACAACCATTTTAGGATCCTCTTATTGCTGAGTCCTCATTGTGAAGCAGATACAGAGAGTTGAGAAATGGAGATGAGCTAATGCCTAGATTGCTTTAATTTTATCTTTTCCACGTGAGAACCTTGAACCCAAAGGCACTAAATGACTTCTCGGGATCCTTCTGCCAGCTCTAACCTCCTTTAGATAACTGTGGTCTTACAGTTTCTAAGGAGAAATTTTCTATTGCATATCATAAATGAGTGAATGCATGTTAGAGGTTTTACTCCAAATCCACAGCTGCAGATCAAATTATATAAGCAAATTACTAAATTACAAAGTTTGGTATTAGTGTGTGAGTCTACCATACCGCAGGGCTAGAAATGGAGAAATGGAGAAATGCAGGTTGCCACGGTGCTGCACATCAGAGGAAAGCTCAGACATGCCAGTCAGCATCAGTTTCAGTCAAGACACTGACCATAGTAGAACTAGGAGAGCAGGGTATGGGATATTGTGGGAAAGCCAGACGTCTGCTGGTGTCAGGTAGACAAGTCCATAAATGGGCCAGAGGCAAGTGCCTAGGTGTGTGAATATACAGACAGGGTAAATGAACATAAAAGTTACGTGAGGCGCCTGGCTTTCAAAAGTGAGGGCCGCTATTTGTCCCCAGGGGAGATTTGCCTTTTGACTCTAATGCTGCCTGATGACATTTTTACCAAAATAAAACATAAACAATTATTTTCTAAGACAGATTCGTTGTTCAGTGTTAGCACAGCGCAGTAGAGTCCAGCACAGTCATTCAAAGCATGGAGCTATTCCTTCACAGCTGAAGAAGAGTAGGTGCTTGGAAGGAGGGACTTATAAAGAGACAGGAGACGACGATAAAGAAGGATGGAATCTTTATTTAAATCTATCCCCGATACATTGAAAGCTGAGTGCATTTATGATAAAGGACTCAAGGAAGAAGCTCTCTCTCCAGGTTCACCACTGCGGCTACCAGGCTGTCATGTCTTCTGTTATTACAATGCAGGTGTCGTGACTGTAATAATGATTTACAATTTATATCACAGAAGAATAATCTCGCTGCTACACATAAACAGGGTGGGACCTTTAAAATGAGAGGGAAAATGTGAATCCAGCACTTTCATATCGTGAAGTTGTTATCTTATCAACATCCTGGAAATACTTTATTTCATTTACAATCTTTTGGCTACACAATGCTAAAGGGAAATGTATTCATCCACATGCAAAGCAATGCAGCTTCAAAAATATAGCTCTTAAATGTATAGAACTTAAATCTACATCCCAGGTGACTGGCGGGAGAAGTTGTGAAGATGGTTGTGAATGCTGACACACTTATTTCCTATGGAAGAAAATAAAAGGAGTTGTTTAGAATAATCATAATAACCAGATGATATAGTTGATTTATCCAGGAGACATTTCAATGTCATTTAATAAAAATGGTTTAGCAATCTATTTATTAGTAAATCCGTCAGCATTTTTACCTGAATTTATTTTCACTTAAGGAGGATCTGTCTAAAGTATATGAAAAATATGTGTTTATAAACCATTATGAAAATTAACATCTATCAATAATGACATTTTGATTTGAATTTTTATTGTGCCTTAATCATTTTCTTTCTTTCCTGTTTTTCTCCTTTTCAAGGCTGGAGACTGAGTCGGGGACCCTGCGTATGCTTGGCAAGCACTGTACCACTAAGCCACCTCCTGGCAAACAATACCACATATATTGACATTTTACTCCTGAGTTAAATTATAGAGATTTTAATGTGGCATTACATTGCTGCTGCTTTGTCTGTTGACACCCAGTTAATGACTTTGTGAATGAGTAAGTAGATGGAAACTTCAAGAAGTTAAGTGACTTCAACATTCAGCGTCCTTATTACCCAAGATGCTTCTGCACACCAGAACAGCTTATGGCTGTATAACCTACATTTGTGAATGTGTTGGTACATTTCAGAAGTAACTGAAGAGTGCTTACTTGTCAGTGATTTTGGTTTGAATCAGCCAGTTGATGAAGTCCCTGGTGGCAAGACTATCGAGAATCGTGTTCATCTCATCGGAGAAGGAGCCGTCCGCATGTCTGCGGCCGAGTTCTTCAACAATGGTGACTTCTTCTGGGAAGCTAAGAAAAGGAGGGCTCAAGTCAGTGTTTGATTATCTTAAATTCATACGGATTGTTGATTGTTGGTGATGTGTGAGCGCTGCAGAGATAAAACCCCTCATACAAGCCCATGCAAAGCGTGACCATTAAAACAGGTTCAGGTTTTGGATCTTGGCCCTGAAACTAAACTTGTGTAGCTTCTATGCCCTTTTTCAAGAATCCATGTTGCCTTAAATGTTTCAGTTAGTCGGCAACACAGACACTATTGTTTAGACTATTCATTGCTCTGAAATTCAACACAAATGCATTGTGCCCTGTAAAGCCAGGGGCTATGAATGCAGCCTTGCATGTAGAAGTAAGGGGTTACAGCCTTATCGATTGTTACGTTTGCTTCTCTCATTCATTTTCCATAGTCGACATTTCGGGTATCCATAAAGACTATGGATTTCCATCAAGATGCACCATTGGGTTTGTAGGCATGATGGTTCCACTTGGGCTGATATACAAGTCAGCCTCCTTCCCACTTCAATGTTTCTCAGAAAGCATGTTTTTAACTTTGCTGAAAAATCAGAGCTGAACATAAGTTTTCTCCCACTTCCATTTCAAATGGTCACAAGAAAATAAGAAGCTTCAGGGGACCGCGTGTTTAAGGTCTAAGCAAGTAACTAAAGAACTTGTTCTCACTATTCACCTTGAACATTGTGACAGCCCCATAAATGTTAAATATATGGCTGTATGTGGTTGATGTCTCTACATGTTTTAGTACTCTAACACGTGAACATTAGTTGAACGAATATGGAACTTTAAGTCAGACTACAACCATTTTATTATATATTAAAATGTTTTTATGTTTTCAGTACAGTTTTTTTTTAATTTTCATAGAATGGTCCTTTAAAAAAATCTACATCAAGGAAAAACATCAGGTAAGAAAGCCCTGACTTACTCCCGCCTTCCTCTGCCTTTCACCAGCCAAGCAATGAATTCCTTTGCAGCCTGGCCCTCCAAGTAAGAGCTCACATCGCTGGTAAAGGTCCCTTCAGCGTGCCTCTCAAACTCATCGTGGCGTTTGGCAATGTTGTTCCTGAAAGAAATGTGGGAGTTACATGGAAGCTGTGTCTCTTTAGTAATGCGGTCCTCTCTGATAAGTGGTGGGAACTCCAGGCTCGGGACTGAGTGGCTAGAGGAATGAGGAGTTCAGGAGGTGAGGGTGGATGGAGGATTATTTTGAAGTTACACTAAGGGTCTGTATTGGAAAGTAGTTGGAAAAGGCTAAGGACATTTTAAAAGTGATTAAAATGTCCCTTCCTTTTCCAGAATGCTATTTCTACCTTCTCTGTTTCCTCATGGCATGGTTGTTAAACTTCATTTAGGTTTTCCTTTATCCTCTATACAGGTAGGTTAGACAGTAGGCCATGCTACTTAAAATCAGTTAGAGACTTATCGTTAATGAGCATCTGGCCAGAGTTAGTTAACAGAGTCAAAGGAAAGCAAGGGGAACAGTTTTGGATTATTATGAGAAGAACCATTTGATGACTTAAAAAAATACATGAGCCAATCAGAGAGAAGCAGAGGTGAGGTTTTATCCACCACAAGTGTGTACAGAGGACCCTGGGGAGCCAGAATGAGCGGCTCACTGCCCTGGCCATGTAGCACCCTTGGAAGGTTCATCTTAGACCAACAAACTGCTGAGGTTATGGGTGGTATTTCGTTAGTTTCCCACGTTGTATCATTCCCACTCTAGAGGATGAGAACAATTATTTTTAACCTTATAAATTTGTGCTTTCTCACATTTCAGATGCCTTACCTATAGTCATTGGCAGGGGCGTTGCTGGCCCCCAGGTCTGCTCTGACCACTTTGGCCATCTTCCTTGCTGCTAGACTCTCCACTTAAGGCTATCTGTGCACTGTCACCTCTTCTCATTCCCTCCTCTTCCCTTTTCATTCTACCCAGACACATCTGTGTCCTTTTCCTGAGTTTTAGATTTCTTCAGCTGCTTGGTATGCATAACTCCCTTTCTCAAGTGGGCCATCCTCCAAAGAAATTGTGAAATTCCACCATCTCTGTGAAACTCTTGTGGATAATTTTCTCCAGTAGCCTAGGAGCAGCAAAGCCCCCAACACTCCTCAAACAACATCCAACATTAAAATGTATGCCTTATGATGGGTTTGTGTTCCTGTTTGTCGCCTTCTCTCTTTATGCTCAGTGACTAGCTACGCTGTAATTTAAAAGTGTGTCTTGGATTTTATTTTACAAGAGAAAGAATGCATCTATTTTTGTACTTTACCAATGATCAACTCAACTATGGGATAATCTTAAAGTGATCACAAAGGCATGTTGAATTTGCTCTAACTTTTAGTAAGAATTAAATTTCCAACCTAGCTGTTTCCCAAAACTTGGTTTCCAATTTTAAGGTTAAAATGGGTGAGAATAAATATTATTAAGACTAGTGCTTGTTTAAAACAATAAAAAAGTATACGTTATGTTGGTGTGTGGATGAAGATTTGAAGAGGTGAATCATGAAAGTTGAAATAAAGGGTAGCACCCCCAACTTCGAAATCATCCAAATTGAATAAGCCCATTTGATGAACATGATAAGCTAAGCATTAGGAGAATTTCTTGATATGAAGTTGTCTACAATATAGGGAACAGGTTTAGATTCTTACCTGTTCCTCTTGGTGTTCATCAGCCACTGCACAAAATCTTGGGCTCGGCGGGAGTCCAGGTATTTGCTGTAGTCACTGGTGAATGTTCCCTGTGAATGGCGCTTGTCTTCATTTATTTGATCAGGGTCCTCGAGTGGGTCTGTCTGGGAAGCTGGGAATGATCTGTGAGCAACAGGAATTAAACAGCATAAACAATAGTTCAGGAGCAAGTACCCTAAGGGTAAATTCTCCCTGAGTATATACTTTATAAGCAGACTTATTGAGTAGAGCCCTCACTACAAAATAGAAGGTCCATGCAGTAATGAGTCTGGTGTTTCTGTAGATACCTTAGACTCTGAGGTACATGAGAGGGTCCTTAGAAGGACCTGAGCTGCTCATGGGAACAGCTTTAGTGTATTGAGAGATACTTGTTCTGAATTCTAGCAACAGGTTTCTCAAGTGTTTTCTGAAATAGGATGAAGTAAATCTTTTCAAGTAATTAATCTACTCATGATTATGCTAATATGACAGAGGAGAGCAGTGACTTGAATATTTTAAAAGTTTAAGAATCTCAAATCATTTGTTTGGGCAGCAGATCTATGCCCCAAATTTTGTCTTGCACATACTAATGTTAAAAAAAAAACTCAATTATTTAGTTATACGGTAGCTAAAGCTTGGAGAAAGGGACAAAAAAAAAAAACACCATCTGCTAGTTTGAAAATTCCTGGTGGATATTCCTATGTAACTGGTTGGCATGGTAAATATACAGGAATATCAATGTAATAGTCACAAATGATATACTATTTTTACTCAATGAATTAAAATTACGAAATATTATATAAGATAAAGTATTTCTCTGCCACTCATGGGAAAGGGCATGCACTTCCAGAACTTTTCTGGAAGACACATCAGCAAGACCTTTGTACAAGCTCTGGTTTAAACTCACTCAAATCCTTTGACATTATAACCCCATCTCTGGAGATCCACCACAGAAAGTATTAAAGAATGTGGGGCAAAGTACAGATGGACACACCTCACTTTTCATAGTCTTCATGGGCAAATTTTAAGACTTCTTAAATGACCAATAAATAGAAGAGGAACATCAAGGTAAATATTGCATATGTATGAGGTGAAAAGCATACACTCTTACATACCATATATGTAAATGAATATTATAATAAAAGAGAAAGTTAACAACATAATTCCAAGAAACATGATTCATGGCCATATATGCTAAGAGATATTTGTATTATACTTTATACGGGTAGTGGGGGAGGGACTTAGAGAAAGGGAGGGGGGAGAAACTGATATAATGCTATTTCAATTAAAAACCTATTTTAAAAAGTTTTCAAGATCCAGGAAAGCAAGACACTATATTTATATATTTTGAACTGTTTTCTTTGGGTAGTAGAAATTTGAATACTTAAAATTTTTGCATATTTCTAACATTAGACATGTGTGCTTTTTACAATTAACAAAGAATGATGTTATTTTTAAAGGCACAAGAAAGGACTTTGAGTTGAAAGAGTTAAAACAATGTAGTTTGCCATGTGTGAGTAATGAGTGGATACAGCACCATCTGAGAGAACCCAAAAGATTAAAGTTTCTCATTTTCATGGCTTGCACCCTTTGTTGGTGAATATACACCCTGCTTCATATTCCAAGAAAGGCCACATTTGTCACCACTGTGCTTTCAACATTTCAAAACTGTGCAGGGAGGGCATACCTCCAAACCACTGACACCCTACTCACCAATCATGCTTCTCCAAACTTTGTTCTAAGCACACTGTCAGGCTAGGTAGAGTCTATAGGTTAGTACCTGGATTTCTCCTCCGTGTCCTGAAGGGAATGCTGCCAGCTGCCTTGCACCAGCATTACAAAAAATCCAGCCACAATGTAAATGTTCTTCATTTTTTTTTCTGCCTGCTGAAGCACAGAGTAGAAGGTAGGGGAATGGTAGGGGAGTAAGCAGTCCAAATAAGTTCAGTTTTGACTAAGTAAATATTATATACATCAAAAGGTAATGCTGTCAATTTTAACTTGCTTATCGTTCCAATTCCACCTTAATTTCAAGTAGAATATATTTCTCCATGAATTTTGATAAGCAAAAAATAACACAAAGAATATATTCTACTATTAGGCTTTTTCATTAATGTAGGACAGCTCTGTTAATGTTTAGAAGGCTCATTTCCAGACTTGAAATAAAAAGTGTCCACAATAAACATTTAAAATACCCTCTGAGGATGATATGCTGCATATGGTTAGCCTGAGTGGCGCCTTAGCCATAACACCACCCCCTTCACTATCAGTCTGGCTTTCAATTAATCGTCCTTCACTTCCAAGCATTTACATTATACTGCATTTCAACCATCTTAAAGCTGCCTCGGGCTACAACTTGGCATACCAGCTGTCGGTTCAGATGTATTATTCATTTATATTTTAAATAGTGTAACTTGGTCTAGACTTTGTAATTATAAAGCGGCCAACAGATTTGAGGTATTTTAGGGTGCTTTGACCTGTTCTAAATTAAAGGAAAAAATCATTTTAAAGACAAGCAATTTGCAATAAGAACTAATGCTCCTGGCAACTTGAACAATCACAACTAAGAAATTAAAGATTTTTATCCTAGGGAAAATTAGTGCTTGCTTTTGAAGTCCCAGAAGTCCCTGGATTGTCTGGCAATTAGACTCAGTCTAGGAAATGACATTTCCTATTAATGACACTATAATGCTAGCTGTAGTATACACCTGGTTTCTTGTCTGTTCGTCAAAAACACGTACTCTGTGAATCCATAAGATACCAAGCATGTGATGATGAGGATGGAGACCCACATGAATGTGGGCCAGGATGCCTTCCATGGAGTGAGCTCTGCTTTCTGAATTGAAACCTTGAGTCCACTATGTGCCAAGGGCTGCTCTCTGCCACTTTCCAACTCTAACGTTTTATTTTTGAGAAGTGGGAATTTCAGCCCAAGTTTCATTATGTTTCTCCATAAATAAATTGAGTATTTTTAGCAAATGACATTTGGTTTGGAATAAGGATTTTACAAATATTATCATTTTAAAACATCAATCTTTTCTTTAGCATCTCAGTCATATTTACTATCTGTCGCTGGCAGTAAAACAGGGATTGTATTACCTGCAGTGGTAATGCTCTGAAGTAAAAAGCCCTCGTAGAGGAACTGGCCAATCAGACAAAGCAACGTAATAGAAATTATGCATTCACTCTTCTTGACCATCAACATCTAATGATCACTTTGACACATTTCTATGCTTTAGTTTAACCAGTTGGCAAGCTTTTGTGAACTTGTTATATTTTCAGGTAATGCCTTTGATTATACCTCTCACTGTTAACAACACCTTTTTATACAGTTGAAGAGTTAAAGCAAGCACTTCCCTTTAGGAATATAACACTATTGGAAAACATCCTGTAAAAGACTGAACAATGCTAATTCAGTACTAGATAAATCCTTCAACCCAAAGTCCCTGAAGATTTTGTGATGGCCTATTAAATTTATCAGGGCAGACTTACAGCAGGTAACATAGTGAGAACATAAGTCTTCTACTGCAGCCCAAAGAGAGTTCTTCTGTTATAACTCAGTTTTTGAAAGTTAACAAAATTGCAAGGAGACACAATAAACTTGTTTTAATACTATTGTGGAGAATTAAATATATTGTTTTAACATCAAAATCTTATTCAGTAAGGAATTTTCAGTTACTTCCCTCCTCTTTTAGCTAGTGTAAAGAAAGAGTATGGTATTTTTGAAAAAACAAAACAAAACCACAATTTTCCAATCAGAATTAAAAGGAGACTATAGTGACAGTACTGCTTCCTGTTAAATGACAAAAAAAAACCCTTAGATGTAGGAAAGAAGAGATCATACTATTTTCCTAGTATATAGTGGGTTGTAGGGTACACAAACACTTTCTACTTCCTTGTCTCCTCTTCAAGGAGCACCTAGAGTGTATGGAAACACCCTCTGCTATGACTGAATCCGTTGTTGGCCTTTGGGAACTGGAACTTTTTCTTTGTGAAGTCAAATAGGTACTTCAAAATATCTGATTTGTTTTTCTAAAGAGATGTACAAGATTCCATTGTAGACGTAGCAACTTTGGATTTCGTTTCCAACTATTGGTCGTCAATATGTTATAAATAGCTGTTAGTTTATAACGCATATGAAGAAATCCCCAGGCATCAAGGATTCTTGTTCTCTACACCAAGGATACTGGGTTCTATTTACAAAGGGTTGATCTATAGGCCTTGGTATTTTGAAATGTTAATAGAAATTTGGATACTTGAAAGATGACATTGAGTATTTTCTTTTAGAAAACAAGGGTTTTTAATTGATAAGGAAAAATGCTGTTGTAGTCTGATAATGTGTACTTTTCTTGTGAAATTAAAAAACCCCTTCTGTTCAAAGTAGTGCATGCATCTATCAAATCCAAGGAAAAAATATTAATTTTTAAAGATTGTTTACTTATTCAAAATGCTTCCCTCCTTGTAACAAGTGCATTGGTCGGAATCCTTGTTTTTCTTTCTATTTTATGACTACAGTGCATTATTTCTCTAAGTAATTTGTGAATTCATTATGTAGGTAAAAATCTAGTCCATAACATTTTTTATCAAAATTGTGTCCTTCATATTCCTATCAATTAAGTAGGAGATGAAAAAGCAGTATTTTAATTCATAATACTTACAAATACTTAACAACCCAGCCCCCTCCAAGCAGACTTTACTTCACCTGCACAGTGTGCCTCTTACCTGCTGTGACTGAGCGGAGAGCAGGTGAGCAGGTGCAGACGAAGGAGCCCACTTGGGAACTTTGGATGTGTTCTGTGCCCAAGCTCTGCACTTCTGCACCAGGGTGCCGTGCTTTTATATATTCTCCAGGCTGTTTAGCCACGCAGATATTACGCTGACAATATAAATTTCTCATCTGTAAATAATGGGGTTTTGTTCAAATGATTTCACTCACCCACTCGCTTTGCTCATCTGCATTCTGTGCTGATACCGGGTTGAGACCTCAGAGACCCGGAAACTTTTTATTTACTCTTGTGCCTTTCTGTTTGGGAATGGAAAGGGCAGTTTGGATATCCACTCAGGCATGAAAAACCACTTACATTCCCTGAAATGAATTTTGACGTCAAATGAGCCGAGTCTCATTTGAGGGTCTTGCAGTCCCTTGATTTGTTGTTTGGCCATCATCAGCTCCCGAATAACTGATTGATCATTCATCTAGACAAACAAATCATTCACCAGCACACATGTAGCAATAAGTCACTCATCCACATTATATGGAATAAATTTGTATTCTTTTTTGTGGGAGTTTTTAAATGTCAATTGAAATGTAATGAGCGCCATGTTAATGAGACACGGGAGAACGGAAAATGAGAATATCCAAGTACATGATGCTGATAGCAAAGGGTCTAGTGCTTCTGTCTCATCCTGTGAAAAAGTTTTAAATCATGTTTTATTGGGAAGGTGGGGCACTAGAATACAAAAGAAAGAAATGTAAGGAAACCTATTGAGAGGGGATGCATGCTGTTACGGTTTCCAACTTCCGACATGTATATAGGTCCTTACTAATTATAGTACATAGCAGACACAATTCTGGTCACTTCAACAGAAGGAAACAGAAAATGGAAAATAATCAGGATGTACTAACAGACAGCCATTAAACTCCTGTGAACATAAGTAGATTTTCCTCCCACTCTCATCAATAAGCTGTGTGACCTTGGCCAAACCATACATTCTCTTTTGTAACTCATTGCTGACTTGTAAGAAGAGAGCAGTGGTTAAGCATTTCTTTAAGTGAAACTCAGATTCTATATGACAGTATCATCATACATTTCCCAACTAGATCTCAGTATCCAAATGTGTCAGCTCCATGGTGTAATTGATGACTTATATGGAAATAGACCATTGAGGCAATTGGATAATTACTCCAAATGAATTTAATTCTTCTGTAAATACATTAAATTAACTTGTGGGTGTAGGTATACATTAAGAAATAGGTATCAGTTTTGACGTCAGCTGGGAGACCTTATTTAGGGGTTTTGGGCCAGTCATTGATGATGATAAATGGTACCTTGAGTAAGTTCCAAGGATCAGCACCCATGAGACCTTATTAAAATTGGAAAATGTCATGACCCAGATATTATTTACAGAATCAGAATCTGCATTTTAGCAAAGACCCCAGGAAATCTCTGAACAGATTGAGCTGAGAAGCACAGCTGTATAAATTATCCATCTCACTTTCTCATCGCTGCTGCTGGTGTTTTGTTCTAAGGACAGCTCTTGGCAGAGCCAGCAGATGGGGTGAAAGAGCAGAGAATGGTGTCCAGCTCAAGGTCCAGCGGAAGGAACCCGGATGTAATAATAAGCTTGAAAACGTTGACCGGTTTAGCACAGATTAAATTGTTCTTTATCTTTAGGCCACTCCTTTATTAAAGGCTTTGTCACTTGATTCTCCTTTTACTCTGCTGTCCATTTTCCTCCTCATTCTCTCTTCTCCCAGTTTCTCTCTCTTCTTCCTTTTCAGATACTATCCATTTGTGAAACACCCGGAAGGAATGAGTTCTCACGATGATGTCTAAGAGCCATAAATACAGCACCAGAGTCTTGGTAAAACCTTCTCTCAGTGTCTCACCACACAGTGCTTCTCTTTCTCCACCACTTTTGCCTTCTGTTATGTTAGAAGTAACCATCTTAAGTTTGTAATTTCCTTTTCAGGGAAATTTCTCTAACTCTACCTACAGCCTACTAATTCTGGCTCTTGGAGGCAAGGGCACCATGAAGATAAGTCTTATGATAATCCAGAGGTGTTCTGTATAGTACACTTCTCTTCCCCCACATGGTGGAAGGATCAAATCAGCATCTCAAAAGGCATTGTGTTATGAGACAACGTGGATGCTAAGACCATCATTAAATTCAGTTTGTGTGTGCCGATCCAATGGTAGCTTTAACATCAGCCTCTCCTTGGTCTTTAACTAAATCATTGCAATTGTTCAAATATTTAGATGTGAGGCTGTGAAAGTGGTAGACATGTATGTATCCGATTAATATTAAGAAGTTTGTCTTGAAGCATAGGAGTTGTGTGTTTGGGAGGGTGTTGTCTAGAGTTGTTCTATTGGGGGTAGCATGGAGTGCCTTTGGTTGCCAATAGAATCATGTAATGATAGATAGGATTTGCCTTCCTGGAACATTGGTTTTACTTATCTGTAATAAAATAAATGTTCATATTATGAAATATAATGCATGATTTTTACATCAGTGTTTAAGGTAAAACAAAGTACATAATTAGTGAAATTTTAGTGGGTTTTTGTTCCTGAGGCTTAAGATAAAGGGCAACTTCTATGTGTTTTCAATCTATGAAATACACATACCCACGTTATTTAGAATGCCCAGTGCTTGCTTGCCTTAGTCCCTCTGCTTTACTGTCTTGAGACTCTTATTAACAGGGCACAACACTTTTATTTTGCACACATTATGTAGCTGGTCCTGCTAAGAACTTCACTTCAGACAGATGTCATGGAGGGTGCGAGGTGGCTGTGCATTGATTTTTCACAGCTCTTGAGGATATTGAGACTGAAATGTTTGGGAATGATTCATAATGCATTCTGGCAGCAAGGCTGTAGGAGGGAGGGATATATTGCATTGTTTACAGAATAAATATGTTATGACCCCTTTGGGGGCAAGTTGTTAATGTTTAAAAAGTTATCAATGCCTACAGACCCTGGCCCAGCAAGATTAAAGTACCATTTTGAAAGTTAATTACACAACTAATGCTACATATACTTGTAATGATTTGGGAATGCTTTGTTGCAGTACTTTTGCATAATCACAACAGGCTAACAGTAATCTGAGGAGCCATACATACAGCACTGCTTATAAACAATTCAGGCAGTTTCCATTTATCAATGCAAAAGACTCCAAGAGAGGCTGATAATTGAAAAAGATAGAAGCATTGAATAACCACCTATCAGACTACTTTTTTTGGTTACACCAGGAGAACAAATAAATGTTTATTTGCTCATAATTGTATTAAAATAGGAAAAACACATGTGGGGCCTTACAGTAGACAGTGGAAAGGCATAAAGTCTTCTCATTACATGTCACTTATGATCCTTTGACTATTTAGTTCAAAGTGTTATATAAAACAACAAGATTCAACTTACAAGGAATAAAAGTACAGCTACATTAGGAAGAGTCAGGCTATAGTAAATATTTGAAAACGTTTTATTTATTTTAGCTATTAATAAAAATAATTGAAATACCTAATAGCACTAGAGAAATATTTGATAAATTGTGACATAAATTCATACAATTGAATATTATTCAAAAACAAGGCACTAAAACAATGCCTATACACAGCAATGCAGATGAATGATACAGACATTGTGCATTGTAAAAAAGGCTGGGCACCCAAAAATAAGGGCCATCCTTCTCGGATCCAGATACACAAGTTCAAAAACAGAGAAAAGCAAAGTTTTAATGAGGACCCAGACTGTGGCTACTTCTTGGAACAGGTCAGGAGAAGCTACCTTGAATAGAAATTTCTGGTAAGAAGAAACTATTCTTTATTGCAACAATTGTCAAAAGATCCAAGCCAAAGTTAGTGATTTCAAGCTTTGTAAAATTTACCTAAGGGTTAGGTGGAAGCATAGATAGCATCTCAGACAACACGGGTGATGTTCGGATGAGTGATGAACATATGGGATATATTATGTGGATCTACTTACATAGCATATGCATGACATTTTCCATACCAAACAGTTAAAAGAAAACGATGGTAGATGCTTGTTAGGAGTGAGATATGAGCACTAATTCACCAATTGTTTTGGAAGTTGAGAGTTTGCCCTCTCAGTTACTGAGTAGAAATGAGGTTAAATATGTGACATTCAGAGGCACCTGGTGGCAAAGAGCCCTACGTGGGTTAGAGCACTCTTCTCCATAGGAAGGATTTTGTCAAATAGGAGTAAATGATTAAAACAAAACAAAGCAAAACAAAAACTTGTGTGTGACGCTTGAGGGAAGTGTTTATGTCAAATGACATTCTTTTAGATTTGAAGATTAAAAAAAAGGTTGAAGGACATGTAAAAACAATGAAAAAATTAGAATCAGTTTGTAGAATATAATGATCAGATGTCCTTCCAGTCTTCATGAATGACCTAATGGACTGAGGGATGAAGGGGTAACAAGGGAAGAGCTTCTGGGGGCTTTCTAAATGAGCCGGAGGATGTGAGACATACCCTTCCTGAGACATATTTAAGAATCAGTTCACAACAGTCCATCTGGAAAGATTTTGAGGATGCTAGTGGAGGAGGGGAGGCTCCCTAATAAGATGGATGGACAGTTTCTTGCCCTGAGGCTCTGAGACCCTGTAGAAACTTACGAGTCTGTGCAGAGGACCGTGTGGCATCATGGCTTAGCAGTCCTTGATTTTATCTTTTGTAAGATCCCCTGTATAATGAGACGTTTAAAATTGTTCTAAGTTTCAGTTGTTATTTTTATTCCTAAAGGGAACAAGAAAGAGAAAGAAAACAAAAATCACATTTGTACAAAAGAATCTTATTTCATAATTTATAAGCAGAATATATGTTTATGTGTATAAATACATATATATCATTGAATACATGTGCTATGCTGCTACTATTTTTTGCATATTGTAGCTATAAAAAAACAAACCATATGTCATTACATTTATCCAACCTCTTGCTCATCTGGAAAGATTTTTTTTCTTCAAGCTTCTCAGAGTCTTTAATGTGAACCAATTAAAACATTGTCATTTTCAAAGTCTTCTCAGAAAAGGAAGTAACTTCAGCCATTAGAAAATTTAACATTTGAGATCTGAATACTAAAACATGCAGAAAATGTAAAATGAAGTCATCAACACT